TGCACGCTGCACGCGGCCAGCTGCTGGCCGAGGCCAGCCCAGCGGCCGGTCCGACTGGACCGCCACCCGGTCCAGACCGGTTCCGACCGGCTGGACCGGTTCAGTAGCATTTTTAGCCGGTTTAGCCATTTTAAGCCGGTTTAATATTTTGAGTCATTTTCAGTAATTTTTCCGGGAATATTTCAGTTCAGGAAAATCATGTCCAAATCAGTTCAGATAAATTCAGTTCCGGTTAATCCGGATAAATCTAAAAATCAGAATAAGTTTAATAGAGCATCTTAACGAGGTTAATCAGTTAATTTAACAGTCTGAGCATAGTCAATAGTAATTGTTTATATTATTTTCAGTTTAGCAGGCAACAGCATTACCTATCAGTCAGTCAGTTCAGGTGGGGACTCAGACTAAGTACTACATTGTTTATAATTGCTCTACCATGTTCGAGGTATGTATTTTCAGTATCCGCTCGGAATGGTCGCCGGTCCATTCTGGGTTCTAGTGGCCCTAGTCTGCCCACTAGAGTGTGCACATGGTGTCCGGTTCGCCGGCAGATGTTCAGTTCAGATGTGACTTCGGTCACCACGTGGCTTCGGTCACGAGTTCAGTTATCAGTTACGTGACTTCGGTCGCGAGTACGTGACTTCGGTCACGAGTTCAGACCGGTATCAGTTCAGTTTATATATATATGCTTAGTTCATGATATTGTTATTATTTACGATGTTTTACATTAGTATGAGTTTCCACGGAGCACAGTGCCTAGTGCTCACGCCCCAGTTACATCTAATTTTTCAGGTCAGCAGGTCGGGCCGGCGGTGTGACATGACGGAGCAGCTCGGGACTTTCAGGACATTTGTTTATATGTTTTTGGACTGTATAACTAATATTTACGCTTCCGCTTACTTTTGACTATCTTTTGACGATGGTTTGATAATTTTGACAGTTTTATCGTACTTTGATGAACTTTTCAGAAAAATAAAGTTCTAAATAACCGGACGTTTTAATAAGTTTAAACAACGGTTTTCTAAAGATAAGTAAAGATTTTCACGGTAGCACCCCAAATCAGTATCGCAAGGTAAAAATGTTTAGTTCTTCACAGACTTTGCGATTAATTGCGCAACTCTGATTTACTAGTAAGGCGGGGTGTTACATCATCAATCAATATTCAATATAAAATATGTTCTTTATTTAACTATTAACTTGACGGATATATCAGCAGGTGTTACTAAATACCGCACCCTTTTTTACTAAATACCGCCCCCTAAAAGACAGTTTTGCCTTTTTATAATTTTAATTTTTTTTTGGAGCTGGCCGGCCGCTAATTGCTGTCGCAACTCGCTCGGCCAGCCGCTAATTGCGGCCACAACTCGCTCGGCCGACCACTAATAGCGGTCGCAGCTCGCGCGGCCGGCCCTTAATAGCGGTCGCTAATAGCGGCCACAACTCGCGCGGCCGGCCTAATTTTTTTAATAAAAAATTAAATATTTAAAAAATATATAATTTTTTACTATTAATTATTAGAGAAACCGATTAATAATTATTAAGGCAAGTTGCTACAACATATTTAGCCATTCATTACCTTACATTGAACTTTTTCGTTCAATGTGGGATAATTGCAAATCAAAGCTTTTACTTTCCCAACCTTTTATAGCCACTCTTAGCCTTTATTATTATGTTTGTAATCGATGTGTGATTGTCCCAAATCTCTAGCCTTTTATAACTACTTTTTGCATTCTTTTTTACTTTCAAATCAATGTGGACTAAATGATCCATGCTTTAACACACTTTCACTATGTATGTCAAGATGAATATCACATTATCATTAATTAAACTTATTATTATCTTAAATTGATAAATGATTAAATTTAACTAAATGAACATGAAATATGGAAAAACATTATGGGCTTTTACATAATAAAAGAAATTAACTTATCATCCTACTTTCATTTTTTTTTCTTTTTGTTAGTGAAATAAAAAATATTTAAATATTATATATATATATAAGTTACTATTAGTTAGTGAGGAGTTCACTCCGACTCGAGGTGTTCGCCAAGGGGACCCAATATCTCTCTATTTATTTGTTCTCGGCTGGCCCATATGATTGATGATTTGGTCGCAATCGGAGTGTGGAAGCCGATTGTGATGGGGAGGGACAAGGTATCGATGCCTTATTTGATGTTCGCGGTGGACCTGTTGCAGTTCATCGAGGCGGACATCGATCAGGCGGATTGCTTGCGGTCCACGCTCTCTAACTTCTGCCAGGCCTCGGGCCTCAAAGTAAGTGATCTTATGACGAAAGTTTTTTTCTCTCCCAATGTTGTGCAATGGGGCCGTGCTCTACTAGCACAACGTTTGGGGTTTTGGGTAGTAGATAATTTGGGAAAATATTTGGGGATGCCCATTCTACACAGCCGTGTGAATAAACATGCGTATGTTGAGCTTCTTGAGAAAGCCGAGAACAGACTCGTTGGGTGGAAAGCCTCGTCGCTATCCATGGCTGGAAGAGTTACTCTTGCCCAATCCACGCAAACGCCTTGCCTTATTTATCCATACAGACGACCTCCTTACCGTATGGCGTATGTGACAGCCTGGAGAGAAAATGCCGAAATTTTATTTGGGATGGTACGGCATTGACTCGAAAAGTTAGCCTAGTGTCCTGGTCCGAAGTTTTTCGCCCGAAGTCGGAGGGTGGTTTGGGGATGAAGGAGCAGCGTCTCATGAATAAAGCTTTACTGATGAAGATGGCCTGGAATTTTTTAACGCGACCGTATGTTCTATGGTGTCGGGTCCTTCGTTCGAAATATAAGTTAAAGTCGTTGGAGATGGACGCAGAATTTGAGTTTCCCCGGGGCTCGACAATCCTACGAGCCATTCAGGATGTGTGGATGGAAACGATAGCCGCGAGTCGGTGGTCCGTGGGCAACGATAGAACAACTCGATTTTGGTGGGATAAATGGCTGCCTGCTTCCGATCCTTTGATCACACTCGCGACGGGGCAAGTCCCCGAGGTGCTCCTCCATGCATCGGTGTCTTCTTTTGTGACGCCGGATGGCCGGTGGAACTGGCCACTTTTCCAAGGGCTGTCGCCGGCCAGTTTTCTTCTTCTGATATCTGCTATATTGCCGCCTCGTGCGTCTGCCGGAGAGGGTGCGCTGTTTTGGGGTTGGTCGCCTGATGGGAAGTTCTCGACAAAGTCGGCATATTCGGCACTTCAGCAACCCAATGGTCGTGGAGCCAACGGCCTGTGGACCTTAATTTGGCGTTGGACCGGGCCTAAAGGGTTCGTAACTTCCTCTGGCTGGCCGCTAGAAACAGTTTGCTGACAAATGAGACACGCCGGCGCCGGCACTTGGCTTCATCGTCGACCTGTTCGGTCTGTGCGGGTGCGTGCGAATCCATTTTGCATATTCTTTGGGATTGTTTTGCTGCAACAGAAGTTTGACAGCGTTTGGTGCCAAGCTCCAAATTGGGGGTGTTCTTTTCTATGAGTCTTCGACGTTGGCTTGCGACCAATCTTTCCGGCCGTTTGCCCGGGGGAAGAAGAGTGGGGTACGATTTTCGGACTCACTGTTTGGAGGATGTGGCGATGGCATAACCTTCATCTCTTTGAGGGGATTGATACATCTTTGGAGCATAGGTTAGGAGACGTTATGTCGTTCGCCGGTCAAACGAGAAGGGCCTTGCTCGGAGGCCCAAGGCTTGGGGCGAGCGGTTTACGAGAGACGCGATGGCTGGCTTGGTATTGTCCGACGGAGGGGTTTTAAAGGTTAACACGGATGAAAGTTTTGATCCGTCTACGAGGATGGCTAGCGCCGGGGGAGTTATTCGGGACCACCTGGGGGGCATGGGTTCATAGTTTCATGATGAATATTGAGCATTGTTCTATTGTGGGAGCAGAGCTGTGGGGTTTGTTACAGGGATTGCAGTTAGTGTGTGATATTGGGGCACGAGACATCATAGTGGAAGTTGATAGTCAGAGCATTGTGGCGATGGTCCAACTTGGGGATTATATTGGGCCACATGGGAATCTTTTGCGAGGTGTTAAAGACCTCTTGGCTCGTTCGTGGAAGGTGGAGCTCCGTCATTACTATCAAGAAACAAACTTTGTTGCAGATTACCTAGCTTCAATGACAGCTAAGGGGCCATAGGGTTTGCAAAGATTTGATCGTCCCCCAAATAGTACGGGATGCTGGTTGCAACATGATCTCGCCAGGACTCCAAAAAAAAAAAAAAAAAATTGTGTCATACTCAATTTTCACATAAAATAAAATCCACTCGAGCACTATACAATTCACGACGCTCCCTATGATCGACCGACCGCGGGAACTAATGTCCGACTCGAAACCGTCGCAATCTCTCCACCTGGACACCACCGCCCTCCACCGCGCCGCTCTCTGCTCCCTCTCCCTTCCGCCCCAACCGCCGCCCAACGACCCCGTCACCCCTCCCCCTGCCACCTTACCCCACTCCAAACTCATTCCCAGGACCCGCTTCGTCGTCGACGGCTTCAAACATGCCGACTCCAAATTTTCCGTCTCCTATTTCCTCTCCCACTTCCACTCCGACCACTACACCGGTCTCACCCCGCAGTGGGCTAAGGGCATCATCTACTGCTCACCCGTTACTGCTAATCTCCTTAATGAAATCCTCAAAATTCCTCAGCCGCTGATTTTTCCCCTGCCTCTCTCCCAGCCCATGCTGATCGATGGCTCGGAGGTCTGGCTCGTCGACGCCAATCATTGTCCCGGCGCGGTCCAGTTCTTGTTCAAGGTCCCCGTGGACAGTGAAGCCGTTGTGGGGTTCGAGAAGTATGTGCATACTGGCGACTTCAGGTATTGTGCTGAAATGAAGAATGAAACTGCAATTTCTCACTTTATTGGTGCTGATGCTGTGTTTCTAGATACGACTTACTGTAATCCCAAGTTTGTGTTTCCGAGTCAGGAGGAGTCAATTGATTACATTGTTAGTGTGATTGAAAAATTGGGGGTTCAGAACGAGGGTGCGGATGGTAAGAATGTGTTGTTTCTAGTGGCTACTTATGTCATTGGTAAGGAGAAGATTTTGATGGAGATTTCTCGAAGGTGTAAGAGGAAGATTCATGTAAGCAGCAAAAAGATGGCCGTTTTGCGCGCTTTGGGTTTGGTAGAAAGTGGGGTGTTTACAGAAGACGAGTCAGAGAGTGATGTTCATGTTGTTGGTTGGAATATGTTGGGTGAGACTTGGCCCTACTTCAGACCGAATTTCGTGAAGATGCAAGAGGTTATGAGCAAAAGAGGTTATTCGAAGGTTGTGGGATTTGTCCCCACCGGATGGACATACGAAGTGAAGCACAATAAGTTTGCTGTGAGGACCAAGGATTCATTTGACATCCATCTTGTTCCTTACAGCGAACATTCGAACTATGATGAGCTGAGGGAGTATGTGAGGTTTTTGAAGCCAAAGCGTGTTATCCCTACAGTTGGTGCTGATGTCGAGAAAATTGATAGCAAACATGCCAATGCAATGCAGAAGCATTTTGCTGGTTTGGTGGATGAAATGGCTGTTAAGAAAGAATTCTTGATGGGTTTTCTTCGTGGTGGAATTGGGGCAGTTGATGTGTGTGAGAAGGATTCGTCTTTTGTCTCAGACAATATTCCAGATAAAGAGGCTGAGAACACGTTTTCTGCTTCAAATTGTGACAGTGATGTTGAACTGGAGAAAGAGAGGAAACTGTCATGTCCTCAAGAGGAACCCCCTTCACAGGATTTTGAAGACTTAAACAAAACTGATTTGGAGAAATCTGTAAAGGAACTGCAAGACTGTTTGCCCAGTTGGGTCACCCTATGCCAGATGTTAGAGCTACTTAGCAGTTCTGGTGGAAATGTAGTCGAGGCAGTTTCTAATTTTTATGAACATGAAACGGAGTTTCATGAACGTGTTGTTTCCAGTACATCTATCCTCTTTACTTCCCACGAAACCTCAGAAAACCTCCCGCCTTTGGCTTTTGAATCCCGTCCAGTTGTGAGCGTAAACCAGCCCACGCATGTTTCTCTCAGTCAAAGCTTCAAACTGCCTGATTGTGGTAATAAGAGTGGGAAATCTCCAGTGAAAAGGAAGGGAAATTCTGGTGGCAAGGGAACGAAGAAAGCAAGAGCGGATTTAACACAGGCTAATTCAAAGCAGCATCCTATAACTAAGTTCTTTAATAAAAAAATGCAGGTCATTTCTGAAGATTGTGAAGTTGAAGTTAAATTGAATAATTTTCGTGATGAGCAAAGTTACAAGGATGAGGTAGACCAGTTTATTCGCATCGTAGACGGTGGTGAATCATTGAGAAGCTATGCCACCAGCATTCTTCAGAATACGAAGGGAGACATTAATATGGCTCTGGATACATATTATAATGATCGTTCTGGTAAAGCTGGCTGCAATTTGTTGGACAGTGATAAATTAGAATCTGCATGTACCAGTGGAACCTGTTCTATGGACAGAGATGCTGAACAAATTAAGTGCAATAAACTTGAGATCAAGTCTGATATTTCCTTCCCGGCTTCAAGACAAGACGACCTCTCTGAAAATTTTATATCACTTCCTCCTGAAAGATATTTCCCTATTGAGCATGGTTGGTGAACATAGGTCTTGTCATTTGATTGAAAATTTTATTTTCATGTTTGTCAATGCTCTTTGTTTATTGCTGAGACTCTTACTCAGCTTGCTGGAGGAAAGGACAGCTTGCTCCTTACATCCATATAGCACGCACTTTTGATTTAGTTGAAGGAGAAAAGGGAAAGCTAAAGGCTATATCAATGCTGTGCAATATGTTTAGGAGGTCTGCTTTAGGCATATCATGTGCCCTTTAAGTTATCTTTTATATCCAGCGTGAATTTCATTAATATTTCCGCTTTCCAAGTTTTGATGAAATGTTAATATCATGTCACTTATGGTTAACTTCAATTATACAGTTTGTTGGTTCTTTCACCTGAGGATGTACTACCTACTGTGTATTTGTGTACGAATAAAATTACCCCTGAGCATGAAAATGTGGTAATTTTTCATTCCACCTTGCTTTTATTTTCGCATTTGTTTGAATTATATTGTATGGATATATTCGTACTGGAGTGGTAGAGTTTAAATAAGTAACAGCCCTTGGAGAGAATACTTTCTCGACGTGACCTCATGACTCCTGATCATTTCATGTTCGGTAATGATGTAGGAACTGAATATTGGTGGTAGCATAGTTGAGGCTGCCCTGGAAGAGGCTTGTGGAACCAATAGATCTAAAATAAGGAATCTTTATAGTAGGCTGGGTGATCTTGGTATAACGAACTTAACTTTGTTTCTCATTATCATTCTCAGTATGTATTAAACTTTCGCTGTTTTTAACCAATATGTACTGAATCAGGAGACGTTGCTCTTCTTTGCCGGCAAAGCCAATCACTACTTGCTCCTCCAGCAGCCCTTACAATTCGAGAAGTCTATTCTGTTCTCCAGAAGATAAGGTATGCATTTCGTTATCATTTGAATTGGTACATAGAAAGATGTGAGTCATTTTAGTGACTTTTGATATAAAAGAGTTGGTGCGGTAATACCTCCAAATTACTTCATAAACTCTGCATTGTGGGTTTAAGTATTTATTTGAGCATTCATGTGTCGTATGTAGAGCACTCACTTTAGTGACTGCAGAGACTTACTTGAAGCAATTATGATTTATTGAAAGGCCTTTTAGTATTTTCGATGTAAAAATTAGATTAATCCATAGTGGAGGAACTAAAATATAAGCACAATATTGAGCAGTACAACTAAGATGAGATCACCCAGATAGCTAGTGTCAAAGTAACAAGAGAAAAAGATAAAAAGGGGAAAAAAAAATGGAAAGAGATATTTTGCATCTAAAGCTAAGTTTTAGCTTCCTTCATGAGTTTGTACGATCTTGATCAATGGCATCTTCAAAGTTAGAGAAATACGACAATCAATTATGGAAATCAGAACAATCGAACAAGAAATTGCAGGAACAGAATATATGTTTTAGTGTTCTGTAAATTCTTGCGAGTAAAACATTTTCGCTTTAATTGTGTTGGGATGTAAACATAGCATGCTTGGATGCAAGTTCAACCCAAAAAATCCCATCATTTTTAACTCAACCACTTTTTTTAACCCAACTTTATATCAATCAATCATTCTTACACACAACATCAACCTTAATTCACTATTCATCCACTCACATAATTTTAACTAACCATCACATCACATCTTCTCTCTCCTACTTTTACATCAATCTCATTTTAATCATTTTAGTTTAAATATTATTTTAATATACCCACTAACAACTAACCATACCAACTTTTTCAAATTTAACCAACCTAAATAAAAAATCCAATCAAAACAAAAGAATTTTATATCCAAGCATATACCTCCCACAGTCTAGCCTCCGCATTGTATTTCTGTGGCAAGCATGTCTAGATCATAACTGCAATTTTGAGTTTAGAAAAGTGTTGCCGGTTCATGAATTTTGATATTATATTATGTATGTACTGTTTAGTTTAGTTTGAACACAGATTTTTCTTGTAAGAGCGAGCATCAGGTAGGGTGTTAAATGGTTAAGTGTCATGGTTTCCAACCCAATCAGAATTGGTTTTGCTTTTTATTTTGTTTTATCAAATCTGATACCGAATCACTCAGTTGGGCATAATCCTCTACATATCAATACCGACTCCCTAAAATCTACCTGGGTAATGCAGTAGGTTAATATTTCCAGTGCATCCCTGTGGGGTTTGGTTGAGTCTTGGAAATCCGAGTAAAAGAAGATACCTCCTCTAACTTTACAAATGGCTTTACTGTTATACAGAAAATTGGCCTGGAACTTTCTTCATTCTGATATTCTTAGTTTATCATCATTGTCTTGGCCAGTGTTATCAAATGGCGGCCAAGGCGGCGCCATGGCGGTATGGCGTGGCGGATTTTTAACAATCCGCTATGCAAAATTTGTGAATGATGGCGGTCATGGCGGCGCCATAGACCGCCACGGCGGCCGCCATGGCGGCCGCAATGGCGGAATTTTGGCAACACGCCATGTACCGCCATCCGCTATTAATAACACTGGTCTTGGCACTGTATTGTTGGGAGCTATCAAGAGTGAATTGTCATTGTTTGTTTGATGGAAAATATCTAGCTATTTTGCCTTTTGTATTCTCTGTAAGCTTATTTCACCTTTACATGTAATCCATCAGTATACAAACTGGTAGTGGCAGTACGACCAGGAAGAAAAGCCTCATTGTCAATCTCTTGTGTTCATGTAGAGAGAAGGAGATGAAATTTATTGTCCGAACTTTGGTATGTAAAAGTAGAATCTTTCCTTCTTTGTGTAAACAATATTTTATTACATTTGCAGATGTCTGCATTCAGCCAAAAGCTATTTAAAATAATTATTGTAGATATATTCTATGGTTGAAGTTTTTCCTGAGTGCTGTGAGTTTAATTCTTGGTTGAACAATACACATTCTCTGCATTCTTCTTTTTCGAGTGAAATAAATTTATATATATAAAGCTGTTAGACTGGGCAACACTATGAGAGCATGGTGACTCAGAATGAAACATGGAAAATAAAGAAAGAAAAACTTAACATAAATTAAAATAAGTGGCTACACACTATGCTTTGATCGACTTTTTTCTTTAGCTACCAGTATGTTTTGGAGTTTGGTGATATATAATCATTCAGAGTTGTCGCCATTTTATGTTGTTTATGTGTTACAAACTTTAGTCTTTTCGCTTTTCTTGATGATCAGAAGCACTTTTGATACTTGTGTTCTTCTGCATAGGTTAGAAACTTGAGAATTGGAGCTATGATGAGAACAATTCTTCCTGCTTTAGCTCAAGCCATTGTGATGAACACAGTTGGAATAGCTGGGAACTTGAAGGATCATGTTCAGGTTTCTTTATTTTACCCATTATTTCCTTTCTTTTTTAGGTTTATGATACTATCCGCAAATTTTAGCACGCAAATATTGTCGGTATACTTGTATTTAATGTCTAGTTTGCTGAGAGGGGCTTAGTTATTATGTCTTCTAAATTGTAACTTTCCGTTCTTCTTGGGTAGCGTCTCTCAAGTGCAGTAGTTGAAGCTTACAACGTACTTCCGAACCTGGTAAACATTGTCTTCCCTGTGCCCTCATCTGGTTGTGCTACCTTTGCTTGTAATTGTATTATGTTCCTACATAGAAATATGGTTGGAAACTTGGAGAAACAGATTCAACTGCCCATTTTCCGTTCTTAAATGGATTTCAGCAAAATGGATGAGATGCTTCGAAATGTTCAATTGAAATTATGAGGCCATTCAAGTTCTATTCCAGATATACCACTTCATTATTTTGAAGTCTAAACCTATTCACTGAATAGAGTCACTCCTGTCTTGTTACGTGACTACGATTTTAATGCAATGATGTGCCTCCTTATCTTTTATCATTTCTGTAGAGCATTAGTCCTTGCAATTTTTCCTCTAGCATTTATTTATTAAATCCTTTCTCTCTCGACCTCTATTTATTTGCATCGTTTGGTGTTTGTGTGTGTGGGTGGGTGGATGGGTTGGGGGGGAAGGGGGGAAGCCTTTCGGGGAGCACTGCTATGATCCCTTGTCATATATTCTCCATGCTCTATATTCTTGCTTTTGGAATCCGGAATCGTTGCAACGCATGGTCTATGTGTTTCTCAATAATAATATTTGCACGACATAATGTTGCTACCATTGTGCTTTATTATGTGTGGGTCGTATATACACGATCAGACTGTTTTCATGCATTGATCTTGTTAGGGATCTAAGGAAACAGATGTTGCTGTTGAGATATCTTGAAAATTTGTACTTCTCACTGACAGGATTTACTTATCCCTTGTTTGATGGAAAAAGGGATCGATTTTTCGTCATCAACCTTATCAATGGTTCCTGGCATACCAATCAAACCAATGCTGGCTAAGTACTGCAGCTACTTCTTCTGTATCTCATATTAAGAAAACATATCTGTAGTGCACATTTGCTTACTTTTTTCTGGCATTTTATTATAGAATTACTAATGGAGCTCCTCAGGTGCTGAAAATCTTCAAAGACAGGTCATTTACATGTGAATATAAGTAAGTTCTGTTTGAATTAAGTTATTGCCTTTGAAGGATCACCGCTTTGAAATTTGGGTAGTATGACAATTGTGATGTTAATTTGGTCAATGTGGTCTGTTTGCAGTTTGATGTTACTAGTGTAATCATTTTTATTAGTACCCGTAATTCAACTAACCATGAGTGTCAGTTACTATATGACTATTATAATCTTCCTCCATAAGTAACTGTAATTCCTGATTCCTAGTCCTTTTGGAGTCTTTTGCACAAGACACTCATTGGGCTCTAACCTCGCTCCTTATTCGAGCTACCACTTAGTCATTTTCTAAACCCCTGTTGGATTCAAACTTATTACCACAAAATAAACAGATAATTGGAGTTTTCTTCCTTGTGAAGCCTATGTGTTTCTGAGGCTGTTTTAGTTGAGGGAAAATAAGGATCTGATTGCATATGAGAATTATAAAATTTTATGTTTCTTTTAAATGGTTTGTTAAGGTTAAGGATTGAGATTTACTTACTTTTTCCGCCTATAATTGGTTCCATATATCATCTTCCTTGTTTGAATTAAGCCGGAAATTAGTATTTCCACTAGATAGCCGATTCTCTTGCTTGAATCGCTTTTGTAGTAAGGATATATTCTTAAGCATGTACAAATTCAGGAATTGTATCATTTGGTAGAATTTTTTCTGATATATCATTTCTGTAAAACTATAATGTGACAACCAATATACTTATTGAAGTACCTTCAATTTTGGGCCTCCTGGCCATAACTATCTTGGCACAGAATTCAATCTTAAAATACCTGCACAAATGGAACTCTTTGTTTTCTAGATATGATGGCCAACGTGCTCAGATTCACAGATTACCAGATGGTTCCATACGTGTTTTCTCGAGAAATGGTGATGAAACCACAGGGAAATTCCCGGATGTAGTTGACATAGTTAAGGAGTCTTGTGTTCATGCAGCAGATACTTTTATTTTGGATGCAGAGGTAAGTGTCTTGTTATCTTTGCTCTTCCTTTTCTTTAGGGGGGATTTTTTTTTTTTTTTTGGTTTCTGTTATGTTTTTAAATAGTTGTTGTTAAGAGTAGCCAAAGCAACTCATGCTACTAACAGTCTCTGGGTTATATGCTTGTTGCTGAGTTTCATGCACGAAGAAGTCATGAGCTTTTTACATTGAAGCCTCTGTTTTATTTCTTTCTGATTCTCCTTTACACTTACCTGTTCGTCTTCAATTTTTTTTTTTTTTAATAATAGGTGGTTGCAATTGATCGGATGAACAATCTGAAGCTTATGTCATTTCAAGAGTTATCTTCGAGGGAGAGAGGGAGTAAGGACTCCCTGATTGCTGTAGATAAAATAAAGGTTTTGAATATTGTTTGGTTCAAGTTCAGAGAAGATTGTGAAATATTTTTGTGCGTTTCTCTTGTAATATATTCTCTTAATATGAAAATAGAATTTAATAAACGACCAAAGAGTGATCATATCTGTTAGTCATCAATTTGTTAGTTGTTCTTGCATTTTCTGTAAGCTTTTCCTCCGTTTATGGATTGTAGTTTAGCTTTTTATGCCTAGGTTCATTAGAGTTATTTGACTTCGGTATTTTCCGTACATGGTTTGTAATTGTCTTTATCAACGAACATTAGGTCAATTTTGACAGCATCAAGATTCAAATAAAGATGTGATGGCTGGACAGGATGGACAAATTTAAGCTGCTTAGAAGCAGAATACTTTCGTGATAGTTACTTCATTATGTCATGAGCACAACCCAAGTTTATTTTCAACACTAGAAAAAATATTTTGTACCTGTTACAACATTGTTGGTTTGGGTTGTACATATATCTGTGTGTGTGTGTGTGTGTGTGTGTGTGTGTGTGTGTGTGTGTGTGTGTGTGGCTCACATCTTCTTTTGATGCAGGTTGATGTATGCATTTTTGTCTTTGATATCATGTTTGCAAATGGAGAGCAGTAAGTTCTTTTGGCCATATGCTTGTTTTCTTACTTTCAACTTATATGGGAAAATTGTGTATACTGTATAGAGATAGCAAGTTTATTCCGTGATAAGAAACTGAGTGATGGTTTTAACTATAAAGTGCACAAAAGATAAGCAATCTGAGACTACCATTTGGTAGTGTGGAAGATGCTCTTAACTCATTCTCTGGCAGCCTGCTTTTCTTTATTTTTACCCACGTGTTTTGGACTCTTACTGAATAGAATATATTTTATTTTAGAACCTCCCAGGCTATCTAAAACTTCTTTGCAGGTTGTTGAATCTACCCCTTCGTCAAAGGCGGAAACGTATGCACTTCCTTTGCACATAAGTAATTTATACTATTTTACTGGACGGCATGTATTATGGAATAGCATCAGTTTTTACCTGATTCAGGGTTTCTTCTTGGTCAATTAGATTTGAAGGATTTAATTGGTGAAGAAAAACTAGGTTACTTGGAGTATGCCAGAGAAATGACGGTAACTTCTTGGCTTTTGTCTACAAATGAACCAATATTTATTACTTTCATCATGCAGTAACCCCAGGTTTTTAGGTGGAATCACATGATGCTGATGTAGAGAATGAGGATACGCTGAACAGGATGAATAAATTTCTCGACGATGCTCTTCGTTCATCGTGTGAAGGAATCATGGTTAAATCCCTTGATATTGATGCCGGTTATACACCTTCAAAGCGTTTGGATGCCTGGTTGAAGGTGTTACAATTGTTCTCAACATGATTAAGCCTAGAAACAAATTTATTTTATTCCTCGAGAAGTGAGGGTCTTTCTGCATTGCAGGTCAAAAGAGATTACGTTGAAGGACTTTGTGATTCCTTGGACTTGGTTCCGATTGGTGCTTGGCATGGAAATGGAAGAAAAGCAGGATGGTAGTATTTTCTGCTGAGTTGTGAATATGTTCCATAGTTCATTTGTACTGATATCACATATGTTGCCACAAACAAGAGTGGAATTTGATTTGTTATTCAGTTTCTTGACTAACGAGTTAAAATCAGTCTCAAGTTTGTAAAATTGCCTCATCATATTTTACAGGTTTAGTCCTTTCCTTTTGGCTTGCTACAATCCTGATACCGAAGAATACCAGAGCGTATGTCGCGTCATGTCAGGATTTTCAGATGCATTCTACAAAGAGGTTGGTCAAAAATAATATTTCATTGGTACCATTTTTATCTGGATTTATGAAGAGACAAGTTTTCTGGACCATCCTGTTGTGAGGTTTTTTATTTTTTTTAAAATTTTTTACATCTGTGCATGTAAAAGCAAGTTTTGCATGTTCTCAGGGTTTGCAGTTTGGTCTTAACAATGGAGTACTGATATGACAGTATTTGAGAAATTACTTGTGTGGGTTATGTGTTTGTCCATTTGGAGTCTAGCGTCAATCCAATGGATCGAATTACTGTTGCCCCTATATTGGTAATATACTTAATAATTTGATCAGAGTTGAGCTGCATTTGACATTAACATGCAGCTTCAGGCCACTAGTTTTAGACTCTCATTCTGTCATGGTTTAATTGCAAAATATAGCCTATATCTTGTATGTAATGGCAATAATAGCCACCATCTTTATGAATTGGCAATAGTTGGGCTATTATTGCTACAGTGTCAAAAGAATACTGGCTATATTTTGAAATTTAGCCGAATTTGGATAATAACCGCAACATTTAAAGGATTGTTGGCTACTATTGCAAATTCGTAATGATGGTTATTGCGACCAAGTACATGATATTTGCTATATTTTGCAATTTAGCCTTCTGTCATACATATAATTATGCAACTATATTGATCTGTATACCAATAATAATCATATCATATAAGCATAATCAAAATAAAGTTGGTCGCTCAACTGATTACATTTTTCTACTCTAATACTTGTGTAGATGAAAGAATTTTTCTCGGGGGACAAAATTCTTTCGAAGAAACCACTGGATTATCGGACATCCGAAGCGCCCGACATGTGGTTTGCACCGGAACTTGTGTGGCAGATAAGAGGTGCGGAGTTTACCGTGTCGCCAGTACATCATGCAGCTATCGGTTTAGTCCATCCATCTCGTGGTATCTCGATCAGGTTTCCTAGGTTCATTGCGCCTGTGGCAGACCGCAAGCCCGATGAGTGCAGCACAGCAGCAGATGTAGCCCACATGTTTAGTTTGCAGACTAGGAAAATGAAGGTGAAAATAAATGATTGAGGATGAGATGTTTCCTCTGCGGTGATCTTTTGTGTACTTTTGCGGGGGTGCATAAGAAAATTATGCAGTGAAATCACGTAGTTTGCCTTTTTTGTGTGTACATGTCAAGAATACTTTTATTTTCCGCGACAATTAGATAGAATCAAGTCTCTTGAGAAGAATTCGTGAAACATATCCGTAGACATATTGACTCGAGCTCTCTCTCTCTCTCTCTTTCTCTCTACTCAAAATCCCTAATTCTTAACCCGTAACCCTCGTTTTCGGTAGATTTTTTCGATCTCTGCCTCTCTCAGTTGCGGTCTGGGCTTGTGGGTGGATAGTTCTCCGCCGCACATCTATGTCTCTGTCTCGCGGCGCCCTTCTTCTTCGTCTCAGACCGAGGGGTACGAGCGATCGTCTTCAGCTGATTCTTCTGATTTGCACTTGAAGTCCGCCAGTGTTCCTGGTGGGTGGGGTGAGGCGCTAGTGGCTGGATGAGGCTCGGGTTACTTGTGTGGACCTAGTCGGGGCGGCTCCTCTCGTCGGCCTTTGCAGATGGCCTTGCTTCCGGATTCGTTGTTCTGGTCGGTGTTCTTTTGCGATTTATGGTCGCCGACACTTTGGAGTTGTAGTGGAAATGGGTCGAGGTTCGTTTTTAGGGGCTGGGAGAGGACTTGTGGCTCGCACCGGCTGTGTCGGAGTGATTGGGGCATTGATGTCGCTATTGCTCCCTTCTCCCCTGTTCGTGTTGAGTCCGGGGGAGGATTGGCATTACCGGACTTGACTAGTGGTGTTAGCCGTCTTCGGGGCAATGGTGGTTTGGGGGTGATTTTGGCATCTTTCGGCTGGAGAGCGGGTTGGCTTTTGAATTGGTACGAGGCTTGGGTCTACGTTTTTGCTAGGCGTTCGACAGTGGCAAGCGTGGTTCTTGTGCTTCGAATCTCTCCCAAGGGTCGTCTTTTGTCTGTTGTTCCAGTTCGGGCGTTCTGCTGAGGGAGGGCTCGATTGTTTAGTTGTTGTTGTTTAGGTTGTTTTTAGGTGTGTTTGTTTGTTTTGTCTGTTTCGTCTTGTGTTTTTGGTTTGGACGTTGGCCTCTGTATATATCCGAGTGTGAACGGGTATTAAACCCTTTAAGATCGTTTTCGTTTATTCTCCTCTGGGGAGCTTTGTGGATTTTTTTTTTTT